AGACACTTAAATCTCCATTCCTTATATGTGACTAGGTCGATTAGTTCGACTAAGTTTATTGTAAGTATGGAGGGGGAGGGGCGTAAAGACCCCCAATAAATAGGGGTCTTCACGCCCCTCCTATAAGAGGTCCATCTTCTCTATACGCGCAGATTAAGGGTAGGGCCAAGGGCATCCAACATAGTACTTAAGTTAGATATTCACGCAAGTTAGTAGGTATATCTTAGAGCAACGCTCTTAAATTACTAGTCTTAGCTATTATTATGGATATTCCACAAGCACAAGTCCACCGCAAGAGGATAAATATAGTACATGATTAGGTTCCATAATATCTCACTCAACTAGATAGAAGCCAGAAGTCAGGCTACTTGGGGTAAGCGAGATTGGCGTTCTTACCACGCTTCTACCTAAAACTAGCCTTCTCACGTTAGCCTATTCCGGCATAGAGCTCCTTAAGCTGACTCCATGTAAGCTTCTTGGCTATAGCCTATTATTTACCAATGGTACTCCTACTCTTGCCATCCATATTCTAGTTCGACTTTAAATGCTTCTCAATGTCAGTACGCGTGGGATTAAACCAAGCGTTGCCACCGTTCGGCTTAGGCGGTTAATATAGAGATGTAATCGCTGTAAGGGCAGTGCTCGCGAGAGCATCATTGTCGATTACAGGAGCTCTGGGCTTTTTTGGTGTTAATGGGGGAGTGGCCTTGTGCTCAACAACCTGGGAGCGTGTCATAACATCCTTACCCTTCACGCCCTTTAGACCTATCCCAGTCTCCTTAATCTTAACCGTTACATGGTCCTACATCGAGAAGAGCTTATAAACGAGTTGGTTAGATGTTAGGGGGTGTTTGCAGATAACCGCAGGCAAACTGGGGTCATCCTTGGGATATATCTTATTCTTCTAAAAATAATAGTTGCCATCCATGCGGTTGTGGTTAATGCCGATCTGGTCCAGGTTCTCCACATCTAAGCCGGCCTAGAACGTGGACAGGAAGTTGTTGGTTATATAAACATTCTGGTTCTCGTTAAAGGTGTTGTGCATGTACAGTTAAATAATAAGGCATGGATGGGTCTGACCATAACGACAGATACGTCCAATGGCCTGGAGCCATGTCGACATGCTGGTTGGTGGAGAGAACGTAATGAGATAAGAATAGTACTCCTGGAGATTCAAACCTAAATTCATCAGATAGGAAAGGATGAGGATCTGGCAGGCGGACTGCGAATCCGGATCGAAGGGAGAATTAAAGGAGGACAGGAGCACTTCGCACTCATCGTTGGTAAACGTTGAAAGTAGAGCTGAGGCGCGCAAACCTAGGACACGAAGAGTAATGGCTACCAGCATCTGCTCAAGCGGTAATAAGCAAAAGATGACTAGTTTACAACCCTGTGAGGCACAAATATCGGCCATGAGACCCCAAAGGGCGCGAATACGCGGAGATATCTTGCCGAGGAGCTAAAGATACTTGGTGGCCTCGATCGTCGACGCGGTATTGTTAGGATTATTGGTAGGAGATTTGTTAGGGCGTGAGTACTTTTTCGTCTAGAACGTCTTATAACCCTTCTCGTTGGTTTTTGCTGAGTAGAATTCTGTTTGCATACCATCGTCTATATCGGTGAAGAATTAACGAAGAAAGAGGTGGTCCTTGTATTCATTAAACCAGCGCGTATACTTAGATAAGTATGGGTTGGCATACTTTGACTTATTTACTGCTTTCTTCTCTAAGGATATGTTAGCTGAGACAAGGGAAGGGATAGAGGAGAGGGGCTGGAAGACCCCTGGGGGTCTTGGAGCCCCATCTCCTCTATGCACACTTACCGGCGGCCTCTTTATAGAGTTGTTTCTCTTCAGCGGCCATTTGCCTAGTTCGCTTGGTATCACGGGCAGATTGACGAGGCAGCTTATCACTATCCGAATCATCCTTCACGGTGGCCTTACTAAGAATCTTCTTCTTCTTGGCACGCTTTGGTGCTTTCTTCTTGGCCTTGGATCTACACTTCTGGCTAGTAGTTGGGGCCTTGGGCCCCGCATCGCTGTCGTCACCATCACTGGACATATTAGAATCCGGCGGTTTTGCAGGCTTAGCGTTAGTGTCATTACCATCTTTGGAAGAGTCTACATCTTCTTATACCAGCTCGCCCAATTGCTCTTCGTTGACCTTAACATTGTGAAGGTTCTTGGTAAAATAGAAGTGGATAATGGATGCCATAATCTGGAGAATGCGCACTTTCCGGCCGTTTATAACCATCTTATTAGGATCTTCTTTAGATGCGGGTGTTGCTATATCTTTATAGAACATTTCGGCTTCTTGATCATGGAGTTCCTGTAGATCACTAGGGTACTATAGTGCTAGGCGGACGCACCTACACGTGGGTATAACAGCATTAAGGGAATGTTCTTTCGAGCCGTGTACCTCGTGGTATAGCACCTTATAGGACGACCTGTAATCACGGCAAATTGTAAAGGCTTTATAGATCATGCGTTGCACGTTGCCGATGGTAACCTTATCTTTAAAAACACTTGGAAAGGCTTTGGCGTAAGCATTGGCGGTTAAGTAAAGGGCACGGCGCTCTAGTAGGTAAGTATCCGTATAAAGCTGGTGGCATTCCTCCATAGTAAGGTCAGATACGTTATCATTGAGCTGAGGGTTATGGATAACGTTTAGCTGACCCACCAGATCCTCGTGGGACCAGGGCGTGGGGGTTACCATTATGAGTAGAACGAAGCGAGCCTTAGCGCTAATAAAGTGGAAAGCCGTGTGCATGTTTATAGAGGGATTCTTAATGGTATATAATTTGTCACCAATAATAATGTGGGCACAGTTGAAAAGTTGCTCTAGACATTTGACAATTAGCTTGGTGGGATTAAACCTGATGTCTTTAAAGACCTTTTTATGTTTATTGGCGGCGATCTATTTGGTCTATGTCGGTACACCATAACGTTTACCAGCAAGATGGTATGACATCACTATAACCACATGGGCCATTAGTTTATTGTCCGGGGAAAGAAGTTCCGACTTTATAGTTAGATTTACATTAAGGACCGTGTGCTTAACATTGCCTGCCAGAAAGGACTTCGTCTTATCCCGCTTCCGCGACCAACACTCTATGATGTGGAGGATGTTACCCGCAGCGCCATAAAGCTCGATAGCGGTCTAATAAATAAGATGGGATGGCGTAAACCAAAAGTTGGCTTTTGGCTTGTCAAAATCCAGCATCACATTAGCGTTATTGGTATTAATAATGGCCTGCATACGTGCTTTACGCTTATTTAGGTTCTATGGAAGTGTTAGTAGATGGATAAGACTAGAGAGGGGGGTCAAGACCCCCGGGATGTAAGGGTATAGTTGGCGTTAGGAAGCGAGGGGCTGGAAGACCCCCGGTGTCGGGGGGTCTTTAGGCCCCTACTCCCGGGCTCTAGGGAAGGGCAAATAAACCACTAGGATAACGAGTAGTACAAGGAGTGTTTTGCCGGTGCTGGTGCCATCCAAGCACATCCGGCCATTCACATAACTAGGGCAACTAGGCTTCGGTCCTTTCTTATTAGACTTCTTCCACTCGCGAACCTTCTTCTTAAAGGTCTAGATGGTGGCTGTGATGTGCTCAATGGTAGTCATAAAACGGTTGGCTCTAGTAGTCTGCGGCCATATCGGTGCTTTCTGGTAATTCCATCTAGGAGGTGCTAGTACTGAGCAGCTCTTAGCCTGGATAGAGCGTAGTGCGTATTAATAATCTTTCGGTTACATCCTCGACCTTACTAACTAGGTAAGCTTGTTCATATTATGCCGCTGTTCTATCTATGCTTCTAGCTCATCCAATGTAAATGGTTCCCAGAATTTGTGCTAGGTGAGGTTTTTGGTTAAATCAAGATTGGGAACAGCTGTTTTATACTGTATGTCTTAGGCAACATTGGAGCGAAGGTTGAGATTACGGAATTTAGGGTCTTCTGTAAAGGTTTTAGGTGTAACCTTAACAAAGTTGCCGTTGCTGTCCACTACTTTGCTCTTAGACAGACTCATCAGATTCCAAAACTATATCTGCTGGCGCTTTGCGTTATTGGCGAGATCTTCCCCTTATAGCCGAGCATCATGTGTGAAAAGGCTGATAGGGTCGACGTCTTGTCCATCCGGGCACGAGGGATTATCGTAGGGGTCAGGGCGAGGATTCCCATGGCTATCGCGATCAACCCAGGCCGCAGGTAAACTAGGCAAAAGGGTGTCCTTCTTCTCCCAATTGGTAGCTGTCTCCAGATGTGATGAGCCGACAGGGCGCTCATAACCTTCTTCGTCCATATAGGTCCACTGCCACCGCGGATTCCATTACTGCTTCTTATGGCGGTCGGTCCTTGAGGTCTTCAGCAGAAACTGCTGACGTAGGTAATGTCCACTAGAGCCTAGACTAATAGCCTTCGCTTTATTAGAGTAAGAGAACTTTTTGAACATCACTTCGTACTCATCCTCGGTTATTTCGTTATCATCCTCGGTGTCGCTATCCTATGTAGGGACAGGACATGGTCTAGGAGCGTAAGAGGCGGTGGTAGTAGTAGTAGCAGCGGCAGTCTTCTTCTTTACTTGTTATATCTGATACAAATCTTCTGATTCACTTTCGGTACAGCCATCCAGCCCATTAGGATCAATCTCTTCGCACTTCCGAGTAAAGGCATCCATGAACTCTTCTAGCGCGTCGTCATCGTCAGGTAGGGAATCCAGAATTTTTGCCTACTCTTTAACATATAACATCAGACGGGTCTCAGTCTTACGCATTTCCTGCAGCTCCTCGTCAACATTATTGGCGGTGCCTGAGGCAGCATTAATCTTCGATTTCTATGCATTGTACGTCATGGCGGCGTTAGCCCATTATCACTGAATGGCTCGAAAAACAGCCGCATTCTTTTTTGTGTCCTGTAAAGTCAGATCTCCATTATAAACGAAGTTGGCGTTTGTATTGGCGCAGAACAGCTGTTAATGGGCTTTACAGCGGCTCTTAGAGGTGTGGCTCGGTTCCAGAGTAGGCTGTTGGGTCTTTATCTTGCGAGACTGCTTTCATTTGCGGTAATATCCGTCCAGCCACTTCCACAGGAATACTACACGGTCGGCGCGAAGAGACGCGGGGAGATCCTTATTATAATACGACGAGGACGGCGGGGTGAGATGGATGTCTCGGAGGCGATATATCGTGTAGAACACAAGCTCTTCGCGGTTGAGAAGGGTAAAGTCCCGCACGTAGAGATAGATCTATGGCTGAGGTAGGGCTACCTCCACGAACTTCTTATGTAAGATATCGAGCGTAGTAAGGCGGTCGGCTTTGTAGAACTTGCCTCCTTCTTTCGATTGGTTAATGGCGTAGAGGATTAGCTCCGTGACATCTCTATCGTACTTGAGCTTGGTCACGGTCTCTGGTTTCCAGCCCATCATTTTCCCACAGTCGTCGTCCGAGGGGCGTTGACCCTTCTTGCTCATGATGGTCTGTTTCCATAGAACGGTTTCTTGAAATGGCTGCTGAATGACTAATATGCTCGATGTGTTAGGGATATGAACATAGGACTCGCGCATCTCATCGAGATCGAGGGAAACATCTGAGTCATCTTGCACATGGCCTTGTTCAGCGGTAACCAGAGGGGTTGGACCCGGGGATGATGTCTCATCGCTAGCCCTAAATGCAAGTTAGTAAGAGGATAGAGAAGGGAGGGGCTAGAAGACCCCTAGGGGTCTTGGAGCCCCACCCCTAAAGGACCTAGGACTTACATAACAATCTTGGTGGAGCTGTCGTATGTTAAACTGGAATAAAGAAGATAAGAGAAGGAAATAAATAAAGACTAGAAAGAAAACGTAAGCAAAATGTAATATAGACATGTTAATTAAATAAAAAAGAAAGCCCGCTCGCCTAAAGGCAAATAGAAACCATATATCCCCAGCTCTTTTCATACTTAAGAATCGACCACGGCGGTTTAAGGATATTTAGTTTAATGGTTGGAAGGGAAGGGAGGGGCTCTAAGACCCCCGGTGTTGTCGGTTAGGACTTTAAGGGCGGCGGCCAAAGGGAGTGTAAGGGCGGGGGCTGGAAGACCCCCTAGGGTGCTAGAGCTGTCCGTTTGTCAGCTAATTCTCGGTTTTGGCGGGGCTCAATTTTGGTAGAGGTAGCAAAACGCAGTCGCCCTAGGCTAGAGTAGTGACCAAATCAAATAATTTTGCCTACACATTGTAGCGAGCGCGTTATTTACTTACACGCGATTAAGATTAAGGCTACGCGAGTTAGTGGTGAGGTAGCGATTGCGGATAGATTGATTATTTAATAAATAAGGTGTGGTGTTGAGGTAGAGGTCGCCTAGAGCTAGGTAACTTGCCTTTAGCGCGACTATAGGTTGCTGAGGATTATCCGGCGCTAGTGCTGGGGGTCTTCCAGCCCCTCCCCATCTACACTATAGTAGTACGGGTGGGATCGTATACCGCTATATTGAAGCACCTAGAATTCTAAGAGTAATATGCCATACCAAAGGGTCTCCCCGCCCCTACCCCCCTAGGGCCAGTGTAGGTACGTTTGGCACAGCGAATTTGAACTGCCCCTTTAGATATTATACTGGCCGCGCCCTCTTTTCCTACCATGTATACCCTGCTGACCTCAAGTGTTACTTATCACGCTCGCCTATGGCCAAGAGAAAGGTAGGGTGGATAGGTTCCGTTGCCAACCTATGTTTGTAAGTGTATGTGTGTACGTAACTGTGTATGGGTCTTACCTACACATACGTTTGACTTCGGTGCGCATCTTGTCCTTGATGTCAACATTGGTACGCCCATTGGCCAATAAGATCCCGTTTTAGTGTTTATCCACAAGCCTTATTCTTGTAAATGGTTGTTTTCGCGCCCCATGAACGGCATACAATATTAGGAGTTCTTGGGTTTCCCTAAGTCCCCACGGCACACGCGACTTGCCCTTACGCTCCGATCCCTCTACCGTTACCTCTATATTGTATTTGAATACATGCCGCTCGGTAGCTTCGCTATCCTCTCATACCATTACATATTCTATTAGCCTGTGAGTGGCATCCGCAAGGTCAATTGTATACACAACCAACCCCTTCCTATAAACATTAGCTTCTAATATTGATGATGACTTGGCCTTATTCCTATCCGCAGCCACCAGTAATTGGCGCCTAAGTTCTGCCTCTTCCTCTAGTCGCTGTTGGCGCCGCTTAAATCCTAGTGACTGCTCTTTATGGCTAGGTGCATGGGTGTGTGGTTCTGATCCAGTAGTAGGTGTAGATGGCCTCCTAGTATGAGAGCCTTCCTCTATACTCGGTGCATAGCTAGTATATGACTTTATAGGAGTGTGCTGCGCATGTTATAATACTATCTGAGAAGGTGTAGATGTAGTTTTGGGAGAAGTGTGGGATGATAGGCTCATGGCAGGTGAACGGTTGCGGGTAGGAGTTGTGGGATTTGGTGGTAGTAACGACTCTTGAATCGTTCTAGGCTCTTCGTTGTGGGCCCTATTTACTTAGTAGAGCCAGTTATGTATACACGGGAAATTCTTACATAGACTCCTCATGTTCAGGCAGCTCTCCATCCCATAATATGCGTCTAGCGTTTGCATGAGAGTCAAAAAGGCCTGTCTTTGAACGTGTAGGCCTAGCTGCTTGAACTATAGACTTACTGGATGGAAACAAAGGCTCCCCTTGTGCATTGGTAGGTGTGGCCAGAGATAATCTATGGCGTAGTTTCTTGGTGGCTTTCTTTTTCCGCGCTTGCTTCTGGCATTTACTAACCTCACTGGAATTAGATAGTCGCTGTGCCATGGTAGTAAAATTGGTGTGGGTAGTTGTAGACGTGGTGAGAGGTAAGGCCTTATGGTGGGTTTGGCATAGACGCGACGCGACGCGTCACTATGGTGCTTACTTAGCCTATCTTAGCAAACCATATTAGCCGTTTTCGCGCGGCGCTCTATCTAACTACTTAGTACATGTGAATCAGATCGCAAAGCTGGTCTTAACTACCCAGTGTTTCGGCTTATACATTGGGGAGTGGTAAATGTATCACGGCCTAGTATGGAGAGTATAATAGTGCGCTTATATATATAACAAAGATATTTTAAAAGAATAGCTTAATCTATAGAATTGAGGAAATATAGAAGCGAGTTAATGTAATTATAAACTTTAAAGTAAATTTTCATTAGGCTAGATTTAAAGACAACTATAAGCTATTAAATTCTAATATAGTGCTCTCTTCATCACTTTTAGAGGCAAGATATCTATCTATAGTGTTTATAGTAGGTTAAACTGGCCAGTTACTATCTTTCTCTTTATTTTCACTTAGATCAGCCTTCCATTCATTAAACTTGGTGTTAAATCTCTCAATATAACTGAGTATGGTGGGTAAAGACCCTAGATCGCTCGAGTTAGATAGTAGGTATGGGTGGGCTGAAACATCTCCCTTATCGCCATGGGTAAAAGTGTGACAGCGCTTAAGCACCTCCCGTACTTTAGATACTAATAACCGCTATTACGTGGTGTAGACATGTTGGAATATCTATTGGTCACTTGGTGTAATACGAGGAAACATCCACTTTATTCACTGTAGGTTGCTTTATGCTGTTCTTTAATCTTGTGTAGCCCCTGGATGTATTAGCTTATTAAAGCTAATAAGCTCTAAGGCCCTATTCCGAGAATAGTGCAAGATACCCTACACATAGACATATGTAATTTATGAAAGAAATGCCTGGTAGAGAGTGCAGATCTGTTTAAGTGCGTGTTCTAAAAGCACTGTTTTAAAGGCTTCTAGATGAGATAAAATTATTTGTATCTGGGGTGCACTTTGTAACCAGGCTAGGTTACTATTTGCTAGTGTGAATAATGGTGTAACTCTGCCCTACCAGGTCCTATTACTAAAAGTTTGAAAAAAGGTTGCCTTGTTATTCTGCTGCTTTGCAATCTCTAGATAGCTAAAACCTAGCCGCCCTCGAACAAGCTTAGATATACTAGAGAAAGATAGAATTATAGCTCCTCGAGTTGCTGCGTTCTTCATCTATGCTTATTGGAAGAAGAGATCTAGTTATTTGCGATTCCCAGCTTTACTATGGGCTAGCTAGCGTTGTCTAATAATCTCTAAGACAAAGAGGTTATATGCTCTTACTGCCTATATAGCGAGTAAGAAGAATAGTTTTTGCCACACCTTTATAGTAGGAGTTTCTTAACTAATAGCAAAAGTAGATTCAACTAGATAATAGATGAACTTAAACTAATATGCTTTAGTAGTGTGCATTGTGTGGAGGTAGAGGCGTCACTTAGATTTCTAGAGAACGTGATAGTAGACATCTAGGTGAGGATATTTACTTAGGCGGAATTTTGGAATTACTTCATTCCAGATGCCTAGGCGAAAGGGGATCCATATAATGCCAAATTGCTTAATAGAATTAGCATATTTAAGGCCTTGGCATTACTGAGGTTTTAACGTTTTGTGGTTCTTTGGTAAAATAGTACTACCTGGTGTTTGTTGTTATGGTTTAAAGACACGTGGTCTACGATACTCTTTCCCTAAGCCAAGAGAGGGAAGACTGCTTAAGTCCTCGCAATTTAATACAAAGTGGAGAGTGCGAGCAAATGTAGTGGTAGTAATGTAGTTAATTTCCTGGTCTTTAGTGCTTGGGTTGAGATGATAGGTAAAAGTAGTAATAGATTCCAAGGCTGTTAGCCAATGATTGCATTTAGTAGCATGGAAGTGATTAACCTTATGGGTGGGTAAGATCCAGAACGTATAATGAGGACTGGTACTAGACTGAGCTACATATTCTATATTATTAATGTCAAGTGTAACTGATGTAGTCCTCGATTGGCTCAACTGGAGGCGAAGTTCTTGGCGGTTAAAGTAGGATACCTGGTAGGATTTAGGTGAGGTAATCACACGAACCCTAGCTTTATAGAGCTCAAGTTAAGTAAGGATCTGTTTAATGTGGATAATAGTTTGCTTAGTACGCCCTGTGTCACTGAACTTGAGTTTATTTAGGAATTATTGGGTGGCACTAAGAAGTTCTAGTTAAGGGTTTGTAAAGAGTCCATATCCACGAATAGGTGCATAAGTAATCTCTTTAATAGTATTATAGGCTTTAACATGTCTAATCCCAGCATAATAGAACTGGTTGCTATAGCGAAGCTTAAGCTCAGCAGATCCTACATTAGTCCTAGTAAAGGTGTAAAATCTTAGTTTAGAGCATAATATAGTGTTACTATAGTTAAAGAAGGAAGTCCATTACCACAAGTAGCGAGATTTTCGCAGTGTAGTTGTGCCAGGAAGGTTCGAACCTATTTGGATCCCAAGGTCCCAATAAAAGCGAGATGGATCCAGGAAACCTCTATCCTAGTAGGAATTGATAAATTTCTCCAAGGCTGCATGGCATGAATGGAATGTGAGATGTCCACTAAGTTCGGATAGCTTTAGGTTGTGGCGAGATATAATAAGAACAGGTTTACTAAAGGCGTTCTAAGGAATATTGAACCCAGGAAAAGTAACATGTTTAGCTAGTTCCATAATAGCATCCTATAAAGGCTGAAGGATCTATTTTGAGACGTCGCGACGGGTATTAATATAATAATCACCAAGAGACTGTGTGCGACTTTGTTCTAGCCTTACTTTCAAATTTGCCTTAAGTTGAGCAAAGCTTACAGGATAGTGGCTTAAACTACTAGGGTCGCATACACGACGTAAGGCAGGAAGGAGAATAGCCTTAAGCCATCGAGCTAATGCGTGATCTGGAAGATGCTATAACTATCTAGTTATCATCCTCCCATTAGGCGTGCTGAATTGATGAGGAAAATGGGGCCAGAATATATGGCACCTAAAGCCATGACAAGTCCCGAAGAGAACGTTTTTATGATGTGATAGGTTTATAGGCGAAAAGGATATGTGTTAATTGCTAGTAAAACCCTCAGAGAAGGCTGGAAGAAAGGAGATAGAAAGATTGTGCTGGAAGATGCCTAGACTAGATGGTAAGAAGACAATGCTATCGCAGTTGAACCTCTGGATAAGGTGATGAATTCCATTTATTTTAGCTAGGAAGTGCGCCTCGGTGCGATCCAGGCTTAGAGAAGGGGCATTATAAAGATCTAGGTTAGAAACACTAGTGAGAGGCTTAGCCTAAGCGCGAAAGTTCTGAGTCTCACTGCGAGGATAACGAGCTAGGGCCTTTGGCAGCATTAAGGGTTGTGGATGTACAGGTACACTAGGAACAAGTGTTGGCATATAACTATTCATCTACTGGGTCCATGTATGTAGACGTAAGCCTATAGATCGTGGTGGTACACTATAGTCGCAGATTATGCTAATGTAGTGTCTAAGTGCATTGGAAAGTAGATAAGTAGGTGTATTAGTACTTGTGTGAGACTTAACTATAAATGCAATTAGCAAAGGATTGGGAAATAAGAAGGGGAAGGGGGGTGAGGACCCCTAAGGGTCCTCCTGCCCCTACCTATAGTCTTGATAGAGTGCTTAGCGTACCTGGGGATAAGCTTTAATGGGCGACTCGGTCTAAATCGACTGCTGAAGGTGCAGGTGATGTATCTCTATGACTATGGGGATTGTCGCTAATATAAATGTCGTCTAAAAGTGCGGCGAAGTCGGTATTAATCCATGGAGAAAAGTTAAATGAGTCTGAAATAGAGGGAGCTTGCTTAGTTCTATCACAGCCGAATTCCGTTGTGATATCTAGATCCTCAATAGCTAAGCCCTTAAGGCTAAGAGTGGAAGGCGCTTCTAGAGTCGTGTAGGTATTCTTGTATGCTAGACTTAGTAATATTATTAGTAGTATGCTAGAATGCTGTGTTGGTGGCGTTGTAGCATCTATAGTTCTGGGTCCGGACTGTAGTATATGGAGTGGTAGGAGGCTAGTTGGGACTCTAGGGCTTCGTGTGGGAAGCTGGGCTGCAGTATTAGAGGATACTGGTAGAGGTATAGGTAATGGCGGTATAAGATTTAGAGGAATTGCGGGCGTGATAACCGAAGATACTGGTGGTATTATAGGCACAGGTTTAAGGTTTTGAGAACTGGTAGGTGTGGGGTAGAAGTGATATTCTAGTTGCTTACTGTAAGTAGGTTAGTATAAGAGATGGTAAAGAAGAGGCTAATAGTAGTTATACCTAGTTAAACTTAGTATACCCTTTATAAAGCTTTTATAGGCTCTATTTGACTTTTGCTTAAGAGCCTTCTTTCGTGATGCCCGCTCTTTAGATGTGAGGTTTAGCTTTGGTGGCATTGTAGCAGCAGTATTGTAGAGATAAGGAGGCTTTAGAGCGAGCTATTAGAATAAAAAAGTGTGATTCTACGCTAATTAATATTCGGGCAGCCCCAGGAGCCTCATAGCTCTAACTGGTCAGCGCGATTCTGCGCTAATCGACATTCGGGCAGCCC